GACCCTACATTGCAACATGACAATTCTTCTAAACCCTACTCGCAAAGCCGTTCTTCCACGTTCTGCCACACCAGGGGCCTGGAAAGTGCTGCCCTTGCACATTCCACACAGCTGCCTGCGACTCCTGAGTCCCGATGCTTTCCCATGCGGAGCTGATGAGTGCGGCGACTCCTGCTGATCTGTACTCGGGTTCACAGGGAAGTGGGTTCAAAATGGCCCCAAAACGATAACCTCGACAGACTCAGACCCTGCCCGGGCTTCAAGGTGTCATCACCGTGGGGGCAGATCACGCGAGGATGCCTCGCATGCCTTCCTGGGGTTTCTTAGGCGACATGCCTCGGTCTTTGCGTGAAAATGGTACGAGGGTCGGTCGGCTGCAGTGATTCAGTGCCTTGACTTCCTTACCCCCGAGACTTCGTCCTGTCCTCTCCTCAGACTGTTTAAGACTCTAAGACACACCTAAGATGTCCTAAAGATGCCCCTAAGATGCCCCTAAGATGCTCCTAAGATTCTAGACATGCAGACCGCGCCGCAATGTGGAGCTCAGCAAGGACTGAAGGCGTCGCAGGTCTACTGACCCTTATCGTCATTATTCTACAAGAATCTGTGTGCCCGCGCCCACTCTCGCGGGTAAGCCTCAGCTCGGGTCCCACGTCGTGGCATGTTCAATTTTCTTCGAGCGCTGCTTCGAGGCGCCTAAGAAAGCAGCTGTCGCGCAGCATCTAAGGGCTGTTGGCAACAGGGCGTGTCCGCTGTGCACAAGCTGTCTTCCGGTGGTTTCGCATGTTTCGCATGGCCTGTATCTCGAGCTACAGGGGTCATGCAGCTGCACTTTGCCGGGACGCGCGGGGCTTCTCTTCTAAAAAGATGAAACGCGTGAGCCCCGCTGCATGCCCAAAGCACCTTGCAGCCCATTGCCCTCAGCCAACCCATTCGGCCTGATCGCGGGTTGTTCTAAGCCCCAAACGCCCCAAACCACAAATTTTCAACCCTGGGCGGCAATATGGCTCCTAACGACCCTGTGGCTACGGAAGCTGACTCGAAAAAGAGCTTCTGCGTCCCTCGTGTCTCCCGTCCCATTGTTGTTGCCGTGCCTTCATGGGCCCTACTATAAGGCCCTAGGTCCCTAGGTCAGCACGTCACTCAGAGCATCTGGATGGGTCCTCAGATCCGACACACCCTAAGCTGGGCTTGCGCCTTTGGTAGGGGAAGCCCACGAACTTCCCGAGCATCTTTTGTTGCTCTCCCTGTCCTTTGTACTTGGATCGATTTTCCTTGGCACTCACACGTGGTACTCTCCAAAGGACTCCGGAATCGGAATCCATCAGAACAGGCTTGCTGATTCCGAGATGATTCTTCAGTGCTTCCAGGAAGGTCCGGTGCGCGAAGTAGCTACGAGTTCTTTGATACCTTGCAAGGAATGTTCTTTCAGGGAGACACGCCAAGGAGCCCACCTTGTGAGTCAACATGTGGCAAACGTGGCCCACGTCCCCCTCAGTCTTGCAGCCACTGACATCAGCTTAGCAAGGGGTGTTGCGCAGCTGCCCTCTAAATTAAGCTCCCTTTGTTGGGTGCCCTGAATTTGTGGCCGCATAATATCAGGGGTCTAATCAGGAACCCAAATTCAGCGCAACCCTCCAGTGTCGCCGGCCTGTGCGCTTTGCCACACTCTGCAAAGCAAGTCATCGCGTTCTCTTCGTTCCCAGGAGCAAAGACAAGAGGCTGCATAGCCAAAACAGCTGCCAGATCAGAAGCGAGCTTCGGGTGTTCGTGTTCTTGGAGCCCTTCAGTGGAAGAGCTGCCAGGCTTTGATCAAGACGTAGCTTGCACTGAGTCCGGGAGAGTCTTTCAAGGGCGCCGCCTTTCATACTGAGTTCCTGAGGCTTTCGCTTTAACCCTTTCCTGCCGCCTGATACGTTCCAAGGGGGTTCTTACTCGTAAGTGCCTGTCCGGCCAGAGATGTGCCAAGGTTCTTCGAGAAGCCATGCTTGATAGCACTTGTATCATTAGAGTTCTCGAGACATAAGCTGCTTAAAGATACTGTGAGATGGATGCTTGAGCCACTCTTTGCTGCTTCAGCTCCAAGGGTGACACTATGAACAGAAGCCGAGTGCACATCCGATCCATGCACAGACTCTGCTGTTGCCCAAGCTGCTGTGAAACCCTGGCACTGGATACTACTGGTAAGTGCAGCATTGCAGTCCGTCGTCTCCGACGTCTCCGACGTCTGTCAGGCCGAAAGCCGTGACTTCTGTGGCGAAGATTGGCGAAGATTGCGGGCTGCTCAGGCTGCTCAGCCTCCTCGCTCCCGCTGATGAGTTTCTGTGTCACTTGTGTCACTTTCCACAAGTCAAGGTAATCGCCAGTAATCACCCGACATGCTTTATTGACCGTTAGCCACACAGCAATCCTCTGCGGTGCGTTCTTCTTTTTAGGCCTACACCGTATAAGTCTCAGCGCATCTCGACGCTTGTCTAAGCCTGGTGGAAGTCTTGAGGCCCATGGCATGTTGGTCAATCTCAGATTCCTTTCAAGTCCTTTCCTTTCCGGCAGTGCACATGAGTTTGCATGAGCTCCTGGTAGATGTGCGTATGCCCTTTGTCTGGGCTGTTGCCCCTCTCAATAGTGGGAGTTGGCTTGTTTGTCTTGCGCGATCCTCGGAAGCAGGAGATTAGCGCACCAAGGGTGCCCGTGGTCGGCCAACCGCAATGGAAACCTCCGGGGTGACCGCTCTCCTCAATGTGTCACATGCAACCGGTCCTGGTGCGCCTCAGCACGCCACAAACCCCGCAACGGAACACATCCCTGTTATATGTCCGAGGGGGCATAACTTAACCTTCTCGCATCCAAGTTGACGTAGCTGCATGGCCGGTGCAATGTCCGCCTCTCTTAGTCCAGATACATGAGGTGTACTGTGCTCGGCCCAATCTTCGTTTCACCTCCGACTGGATTCCTGTCATGCTGCCTTCCCGCGTGCACATTATGATGGGAGCGCGGAACACGCAATGCTTGCAGGCAGTCAGTCAGAATTCCCTTCCGGGGTGGGACAAGATATCTTCAACATTGTCAGTTTCTCGTCGCGTGTCCAGTCGACGTGCAGGTAATACAGGTAAACTCCTGGAAGTGAGTTTGCGGTGCATCTTCCGCACGCTTCTGGTGATGTCGTCGCAGCCACAATTGTGGAACATTGCAGGTGCTCGTGAACGTCCGTACGCACCAAGGCAAAATCGACCGGAGCCGGCGGTCGCACATGCCGAACTGCATTAAGGGTGCACCGGGTTGGGGCGATTTTGCGCCGCCGTGCTGAGCCCGCGGCGGAGTAGTGACCTCTTGGAGCCGGTGAATATAGCAGGTGGCGCGGATTGGCCTGCCGAGTTGTACTGCGTTTGGGAGTGCCCAGCGTAGGGAGGCTGGGTCGGTTGACGGGCATCGGTCCGCGAGCTCGCTTTCGTCAAGCTGCGTTCGGAAGTACCCGGCGTAGTGACACTACCACCGGAGGCCTCTTAGAATGTCTGCACCGGTTGCGCTCCCATAGTGCTGGCTTGTCTTCACGCCGCCCTCAGAAGTAGGGGCGGCGTTTTCTCGAAGAAATCCGCAAGGGCGCACACGCACGCGCTTGCTGGTGCCAAGGGGTGCCTATGAGCATGTCGGCCCAGATTACGTGTTGCACTCCCCTTGTGACCTTGTGCTGTTTTGCCCGCGCGCCGCCCTCAAACATGGTCCATGCCAAAGAAGCACTCCTGCTGCAGCGGTGTGGACATCGGCTGTCAGAAGTTTGCCGGCCAGCCGCGGCTTCACACATGGAAGAAGTCTTGGTTTTGGACACTCGAGAAGACCCTTGGACGGAACTCCAACAGCATTCATTTGGGCCAAAAGTTTTCTCCCAAGGCTTCATCGCATGCAGAATCTTGGGGCATCTGCAGTTTGCAGGCACTATCGAAGCTAGCCACATCGCACCGAGTCCCATGCCTTGTGAGTGAAACAGCACTCATCTGGGCCAAAAGATTTCCCCCACCCTTTCCACATATCTGAGCATGCAGATAGTCGGGGCGGGGCGTTCGCATTTGGGACATCCATTAGTAAGCACGGTGGGATCTTGTCGCAAGCCGCCAGCCGCATCGCAGCATCGCACCGAATGCCTTGTGAATGACTTCGACACTCATCATCCTGGCCAAAGGCTTCCACCCGCCCCTTCTATATATCTGAGCATACAGCAGGTCGGGGCCGGGCGTCTGCGTTTGGGACATCATGTGCGATCTCATCGCGCCGCATCACACCAAGTGGACTTCATCCGGGCCAAAAGCTTTCTCCCACCACTTTCAGAAAGAATCTGAGCATGCAGAGAGTCGGGGCGGGTCGTTCGCATCTGGGACATCCCTTACTAAGCAGGGTGAAAATCTCGTCGCAAGCTGTCAGCTGCATCGGACCAAGTCAGAGGCCTTGTGAATGACTTCGAGAGCACTCATGATCTGGGCCAAAGGCTTCCACCATCACCCCTTCCAGATATTGCCGAACGGTATAGGCATTAAAGCGCCTAACACCCATGGAGTGCTCAGAATACCGCGCGTCAAGTCGGAGTTGTGCCTTTTCACACTGCCTCAGCACCCTCCTGAAAACAGTCGACCCCAGGGGGTAGTGTTAGGCATTCCCGCGCCCAACCTGCCTAACACCCCTCCGCTGGAGTTGGAGGGATGATCTTCCACCCTTGAAGGTTTCAGTTTGGGTTGCTTGCTCCTAGTCCCAGCCTTTGTGGATACTTCGCTTTGTTGGGGGCATGCTTCGGCCAGTGCACAGGGCTTCCTTCCTCGCGCCATGGCGTAGGCTGCACTGAATCTGTCGCAACCTCTCCTGTGTACCCAGTCGCTTGTCCAGCGCAATAATTCGTGGCTTCATGAAAGGAGGTGTTCCTTGCAACACAGGTAGCAACCACAGCGTGCAACACTCAGTAATGAAGTTTCTTTCCTAACCTGCATGGATGATACTTGCTTCACCAGGTGAAAATGGAAGACTGGACGGAGAGCTACCCCCCCAACCTTGTGCATGTGACTGTGTATCGGGACACCTGGCTTCGCGGTTGGAGCCTGCGTGCTTTTAAGAGTAGCAGTCGCTACCGTGGCATCCAAGCCCTGGTTGCAAACCCAAAAGCCCAAAAAGCCCTAATGGCAGCCGCACTTGGCTTACGTGTGACACGCAGATCAGGCCGTCGCAAGCCCAGCACGGACCGTTGGGTCTCCTCGGCTGCAGACGCCTGCTTGGCAGAGAGCAACTGCCGCAACTGCCGCAACTGCCAGCCAACTCTGTTCACGCAAAGATGTCTGCGAATCTTGCATGACATTCGGGTCGTGGCTGCAATGACTCCACAATGTTCCCACTCTCGCTCGCTTTCGGGTGCTACTAGCTGCTTTGCCAAAGGTTTTCAGGGCGGAAGCGAGCATTAGTATTCCGAGGCGTGCGAAACTCTATCGGCTCACGTCGAGTCTCAGACGGAGGCTTCAACATGACAGGCATTCTTGCGCTGCAGCGAGCAGTCAAAAGGATGGTCAGGGTTGGGTGAGTGTTCTTAAAGTGAAGGACGGATTGAATATGTCGCATGACTGGCATTTGTGTTCTGCCGCTCGTAGGATTCTGCCCTTTCGGTTCCTGCGCAGAGAGGTCCGAGTGCTTGCGTGGTGGTTTGGGTCTCAAGTTCCAGGCTGCTGTTGCCAGTGCCATGTCGACTTGTGCGGAGACCTCGCATGTCCTGAGTAGCAGTGTAGACTACGCAGTGTAACTGACATCGTAGAGTCAGAGCAATCTAGGTCACAGAAGGGGCGAACACATCCGTCAGTAGCCGTCAGTGAGCGATGGCACTGGACCTCTGCAGGCGGGAGTTCCTCTTCCAGGCCAGTCCTTGCAGAAATGCTGCCATGTCCACACTCGGCCCTTGCATGTCCTCTTGCCGATTCCGTGCATTGGGGGTTTGGGATCCATCCAAGATATCTCATTTGCAGTGGTCGAAAAGGAAGTCCGAGCGACAATGCTGACTGCCGCTTGTAACAAAAGCGATTGACTGCAATCACATCATCCACATCAGGGTCTGGTGCGACCAGCGCCGCCCAACGTGAATTCAGCAACATTTCCTTATTAGTATGGTCAGAAAAGCTTAAAAACGCTCACCCATCAGTTCCTTTGAATTTGAGAGCATGTGTCGCTGAACTCTATAAATATTTTTCGTTTCTGTTCGTAATGGAGTTGTACAACACAAAAAACAGCAATTCTGAGAAGAAAAAGTGAAACATTGATTGGATTTGGTGCTTTTTTTTGTGAGGGCACGACGGCAACCGGCGCGCGCGAAAAACACGTCGAAGGAGAAGAGGTAAAACTTGGCAAACTGAAAAGTGCTCTGTCTCACGTGTGTGCTAACTTTCCCACGATCACCAGGAACGGGAGACACATTTGTAAAACAAGTCAACATCACCATCCACGACATCCTCCTCCCTATTCAAGGGGACCGGAGGTTGTCTTTGGTGATGATGTGAAAGATTGGTTGCTGATCGACTGCCGATAGATTTGGTTAACATGGACTTTTTGGACGAAGCAAGCGAACCAAAGCAAGCAATAAATTCTTTATCGAAAGCACCACACCAAATCTATCGGCAGTCGATCAGCAACTAATCTTTCACATTCTCACCAAAGACAACTTTGGTCTGCGGCTGTTGGAACCAAGTTGTCGAGCTGGAGCTAAAAGCCAAGTTGTGACAATGGGGATGAGTTTCAGACTGAAAGTGGGTATATCGGTGAGTGGGAATGCGGCGTTCGTCGTCTATTAGCGTTTTGGTTGGCTGCGGTCACGTCGCGACACCATCAACCAAACGCGTTTTCCAAAAGACCGACGTGGATTCCCTTGTAATCAGGACCCCTTGAAAAAGGGTACCCCTATTTTCGTAAGCCCCCATTTGAAGGCAGCAGCCAGGAGTGACCAGCTTTCCAAGCAGCGCTTGCAAGAGGAGGAGCTGCACACCTCAGACTCAGAAATGGGGTTTCGGGTTTTGGGTTTAGGGTTTAGGGCTCAGTATGGGGCTTCTGAAAATAGGGGTACACTCTTTGGGGTTTATTCAAGGGGCTTCTGTTCTATTTGGGGTATAAACAGGGTACACCTACTTTGGGAAATAAGTGTATGTATCAGCTCCTCTCATTTGGCTCTTTCTTGCTGAAAGGCTCGCAGCCCTGACCCTGCCTTCCACAAACCCTGAAACCCGAAAGAACTCTGAACCAGGGTCCAGGGTGTAGGGGTTGAGGGTTTAGGGTTTGGGAACCCCCAAAAGGCTTTTTCACATAGGAGCTGAGCTCACTCCGTGATCAGCTGCAGCTTGTGGCAGAAGCAGCTGCCTCCGCATGCTCTCAGAGGCGGGTGGGACAACTTTGGCTTGAACAGATCAATAGGTTCATCAAAACCAAGCGTGATGACACCTGAACAAAACAACACCAAAGCCGTTCAACAAAACAACACACATTGAAATGGTTTGAGTTCATCGTGCACAAGCGGGAAAATCATATTCAGGAACAACTTGAAAAAAACGACATAAACAAGTCGGATTCAAGAAGAATGTCAGATCTGCCAACAAGCCAGCACAAAAGAATGCTTGGGGTTTAGGGTTTAAGGTTTTAGGGTTTAGGGGTTCAGGGGTTTTGAGTTTAGGGGTTTAGGGGTGTAGGGGTCAAGGTTAAGGGGTGCAACCCTAATACCCCTTTCATTCAGGGCAGGAACGTAGAATTCAAACTGCGGACCCCTCTTCACAGCTTTCGGGAGTCTGGGCTTTCCCCTTAAACCCCAAAGACCCTAATCTTTAGGGTGTTTCGGGATCCTAAGCCCTAGCCCCCAAACCCTAACCCTTAAGAATTCCCTCCTCTCAGTGCCAGGATCCAAGAAGACCAGCGCTGCCTACGCGAGCTTGCCAGCACGCGATCGACCCTGCTGCGCTTGGCCGCGGACCTCCACGCCGTGCGGGCTCGGGGGGGGGGCCGGGGGGGGGTGGTTGAAACCCTAGAAAGTAAAGGGTTTAGGGTTTAGGGTTTAGGGTTTAGGTTTTAGGGTTTAGGGCATGTTCGGTTCGCTTAGGCCCCTCCACCGCCTGCAACCCCCTGATCCTCCATCCTGCCCCCTCCACCCCCTCGTGGTCCCACAACAAACTCTATAACCCTTAACCCCCAAACCCCAAACCCCAAACCCCAAACCCCAAACCCCAAACCCCAAACCCCAAACCCCAAACCCCAAACCCCAAACCCTAAACCCTAAACCCTAAACCCTAAACCCTAAACCCTAAACCTAAAACCTAAACCCTAAACCAAAACCCCGAATCCCTAAACCCTGAACCCTAAACTCTGAATCCCAAAGTCCCAGCCGTGGGGGATCGAGGACGGATGATGTGATGAGGGTCTTGGATTCAGGATTTCGGGTTTAGGGATTGGGGGTTTAGGGTTTAGGGTTTAGGGTTTAGGGTTTAGGGTTTAGGGTTTCGAGCTTGGGTCTAAGTCGTGGACAGTCTTTTGTCGACAGTCTCCAGAGGCCCGAGACCTAAGCCGTAAACCCCAGAACCCCAGAACCCTGAACCCCAAAACCCTGAACCCTGAAACCCTGCAAGCCTACAACCCTTAACCCTAAAACCCTGAAACCCTGAAAGCCTGAAGCCCTAGAACCCTAAAATCTGAAGCCCTAAACCCTTAGAGCCTTTGAATCCCAAAGACTGCTGGGATCTAAACCCTAAACCCTAAACCCTAAACCCTAAACCCTGAACCCTAAACCCTAAACCCTAAACCCTAAGCCCTAAACCCTAAACCCCGTGCGAGGCGCAGAACGCCGAGCTTGCCGTCTCTGCTGGCCATGCCTCGCGACACCGCAAGGAGCACGTGGAACTGCGTGGGGAGGCTTCCCCCCCCCCCCCCGGGCCACTCTGTTTCTCTCTTTTTTTGGTTTCGGCAGAATCTCTAAACCCTCAGCCCTAAACCCGTCTCTTAGGGTTTGGGGTTTTGTTTGACCGAACCCTAAACCTAGGCCCTAAACCCTAAACCCTAAGCCCTTAAACCCTAAACCCTAAGCCCCTAAGCCCCTAAGCCCCAAACCCCAAACCCTAAACCCTAAACCCTAAACCCTAAACCCTAAACCCTAAACCCTAAACCCTAAACCCTAAACCCTAAACCCTAAACCCTAAACCCTAAACCCTAAAAACCCTAAACCCTAAACCCTAAACCCTAAACCCTAAATGCTCTCTAAAGCCTAAGGCCCCCTGGGCCAGTTAACGCGCTCCAGGTGGACCGACTCCGTCGAGCCGTGGCGGAGGCCACGGCGAGCCGTGATAGGCTGCAGGAGCAGGTGGTGGAGCTGGAGGAGAAGGCTGGCTGATTTCGTGTTGAGGGGCTTTAGGGTTCTAGGGTTTTGGGGGTTTTGGGGTTTAGGGTTATTAAGGGCGGCAATGTTCATGGTCTTGGGATTGAAACCTCAACAACGTGGCATTAGGCAGCTTTCGTTTAGGATGTTCGCCCCCCTTTCCGAAAACCTAAGCCCCAAGCCCTAAACCCCAAACCCTAAACCCTAAACTCAAGGCCTAGGGCGCCCCCACTACAGTGGGGGGGTGGGGGGGGCGCTTAAGCCCCTCCATTACCCCAAACCGAAGCAGGTCGTTCACCCGCCTCGCAGTACTGGATCCGCAGTGTGCCCAGGGACCAGGGCCTCTCGCCGAGCCTTCTGGGATCTCCTGGCTTTGCCGCCTTGGACGGTTTGTGGGGTGAGAGAAGGTGTTAGATGGCCCTCCACAATCGGGCCACAGCTGCTCTTCGCGCCTGACGAAGCTTTCGAGCCTCCTATTCTAACCGTCACAGCATCCGATATGACAGCAAAACCCCAAACCCTAAACTTTTGGGGGCTTCGCCTTTGTGCGCATGATAAACCCCTGGAAAACCCGAGAAAACATGACCTCTAGACGTGAACTTGGGCGCCGAGCCGCGCTGGCGAGAATTTCGCAGGCCGCCTCTCGGAACCGATTGGCACTTGCCTACGAGGACCGGGCTTAGAGAGAAGTAGCCCCAAACCCTAAACAATAAGCCTTGACCCTAAACCCTAAACCCTAAACCCTAAACCCTAAACCCTAAACCCTAAACCCTAAACCCTAAACCCTAAACCCTAAACCCTAAACCCTAAACCCTAAACCCTAAATTCCCACCCAGGCCTGCTTAGGCCGTACCCACCCTTCTCTACTAGGGTGCCTGGACCCAGAAATCACCCGACAGCGATTAACACCATCGCTTGGACTTCCTGTGCAAGCCTAAAGAGTTGTGTTGAGCGTGAGCTGCACCTCCAGTGCCGGTGCAGTACCCCGCCTGGGGTACCCCGCCCCCCTTCTCCGATTCTCAAGTATTATTAAAAAACCCTAAACCTCCAAAAATGGCTTCTGCACGTCGTCCGGGCCCCCCCTACCGCCCCCCTCCGGAGCCCCCTGGTGCCGGGCCACTGCCGGAGCGTGTCCAGGGACCAGAGGGGCCGCAAGGCAGGTCAGCTTGGGCGATTGCTCAAAAACCCACTAAACCCGTTTTGACACCCTGCCTGGCCCCTGGCCCCCCCCTGGCCCCCCCCTGGCCCCCCCCTGGCCCCCCCTGGCCCCCTGGTTTCCCTGGCCCCTTTTAGCCCCCCCTCCTGGCCCCCCCCCCTCCCCCCCCCACTCCCTCCCCCCCCCTCCCCCTTTCAGAGGATGGGGATGGGAAGTGGGAATTTAGGGCGTCAGCCCGAAACCCTAAAAGGAGAAAAGTTGGGTGGATGCCTGCGTAAGCAGGGGGCGGGAAAAATAAAACAACCCAACCTTTCTGGTTGTGGTGGCTCCTACTTCAATATACGCCGCCGCGACATATGCCGCCCCCTCACACCCCCTGGGTGTGTTGGGGCGCCATCTCCGCATGAAAGCTACTGCTGCGGCGCAGCGAGAAGCCCTAAACCCTAAACCCTAAACCCTAAAACCCTAAAACCCTAAAACCCTAAAACCCTAAACCCTAAACCCTAAACCCTAAACCCTAAACCCTAAACCCTAAACCCTAAACCCTAAACCCCAAACCCCAAACCCCAAACCCTAAATACAGCAAGCCACTGGCGCCCCAAAAGCCCAGAACCTCTGAGCCAAGCCCAAGGAGGGAGCCCAGGATCTCCGGACCGAATTGAGACACGCCCTGCGCCATCTGCAGGCCCGGTTGAGGGTCTGCAACGATTTGGGGTTTAGGGCTTATGGGACCCTAAACCCTAAACCCTAAACCCTCAACCCTCAACCCTAAACCCTAAACCTTAAACCCTAAACCCTAAGCCTTTCTAGAATTTCGGATTTTTTTTTGTTTGTTTATCGGGTTTACTCCGATGATAAGCTTGATGATGGGCTTCGGGGTTTTGTTGCGCTTTGTAGGGCTTAGGGGCGGGGGTCCTCGGCTTCGGGGGTGATCCGATGCAAGTTGGGGGGAGACCCGGAGCCCCGACGCTCGAAAGACCTTGAGGTTGTTTAGGGTTTAGGGTTTAGGGTTTAGGGTGTAGGGTTTAGGGGTGTCAGGCGTCAGGGTTTAGGAGTTTTAGGAGTTTTAGGAGTTTTAGAGGTTTAACCGCATCTTCCACTCCAAGGAAGATTGAGGCCCCTAAACCCAAACCCTAAATCCTAAACCCAAAGCCCTAAACCCTAAACCCTAACCCCTCCTATCCTAAGGATTAGCTTCAACCATGCCATGGTGCGTTCTGGGTGGAAGCACGTAGTGAAGGCATGTAGGCGACATAGTTCAAGAAGGCTTCCTCGGATGAGTGGCGCAGAAAAGGAGAAGGAAAGGGAGGCACCAATGATCTGTGCTCGCGCTCTAGGGCTCTACGTGAGAACTGTGAAAGGTGAGAGAGGTTTGGGGCTTTCTCCAACCATAGCAGGGTCAGGCGAAATTAGCACTTGCCCAGTCGCATGGTCAGTTCTCCAAACCATCGTCCCCTGATTTGTTGTAGAGAACTGTGGCGCCACATTGCGTTGCAAGATTTCTCCCTGTCAGGAGGGGGAGGAAGAGCATGCGCTTGTGGAGGCGGGCTTGTGATCCACGACCCACAGCTGGGATAAGCAAAACCGCAACCCTGAAAAGATGTGAAGCCCTTCGGGCTTAGTGGTTTAGGGTTTTGGGTTTGTTTAGGGTGTGGGGTTTGGGTCTTAGCGTTTGTTTGGCTTTAAGGTTTAGGGTTAGGTAAGGCTGAAGGAATAGGGTGTATGAAGGTTTATATTAGGGTTTAAGGAATAGGGTGTACATTAATTAGGTGTTAGTTGGGGTTTAATTGGGTTGTATTACCCTAAACCCTAAACCCTAAACCCTAAACCCTAAACCCTAAACCCTAAGGACTGAGGGTGCCCTTCTCAGGAGTCCTGGGGTGCCAGCTCCAGCGGCAGGTCCGAGGTGTGGGAGCCGCTCCAAGAAGGCCGGGACCTGGTTTAGGGTTTAGGGTTTAGGGTTTAGGGTTTAGGGTTTAGGGTTTAGGGTTTAGGGTTTCATACAGGGTTTTCTAAGGGATTTATACTCTGTGTGTGTGTGTGTGTGAGTGAGATAGGGTTTTATGGAGGTTTAAACTATGGCGTTTTATGTTTTTTTTTGCAGCGTTTTTCGCGGTCTTATAGGTTCTGTGGGGTTTTTATGGTGTTTTGCAGGGTTTCACAGGGTTTATCAAGGCTTATTGGGTTTAGGACCAAACATCCTCAACTCTCTCAGGTGAGCGGACCCGGAAAAAGCCTCGGAAGCCTTCGAAAGCTGCGACAGCTTCGGCCCGTCCCCGAACTCTCTAAGAAACCTTCAGGGCCCTCCAACCCTCCAACCCTAAACCCTAAACCCTAAACCCTGAGCCCTGAGCCCTAGACCCTAGACCCTAAACCCTAAACCCTATACCCTAAACCCGAAACCCTAAACCCTAAACCCTAAACCCTGAGCCCTAAACCCTAAAGCCTAAACCCTAAACCCTAAACCCTCCAACTTCGGCAGGTGCGCCCATGGATGGACTCTGGAGGCGCCGGAGGGGAAGCCGAAGCGGCTTCGGCAAGAGAGGTTTGGGGGTTTGAGGGCTTAGGATGTGTAGGGTTTAGGGTTTAGGGTTTAGGGTTGAGGGTTGAGGGTTGAGGGTTTAGGGCTACGTAGATGGTTTAAGATGGTTTAGGATGGTTTTGGATGGCTCAGGCTGGCTAAAGGTTTTCGGGTTTAGGGTTCAAGGAATTCGCTTAAGGGGGAAAACCTAAGCCCTAAACCCTAAACCCTAAACCCTAAACCCAAAATTCGGAACCCGAAGCCCTCCGCCTGAAACAAACCCAAGAGGCCCCAAATCTGCTCCCGGTGCAGGCGCCGCGTGACCTCCTCCTCATCCTCGCGGCCGAGGCGCTTGGGCTCGGCTGCACCTGGGGATGCCACCTGGCGGTTCAAGTGACAAGACTCCCCAAATAAAGGAGTAGAGCAACTATCACTTAATAGTGAATATCCACACTATCTACACTTATTCTTGTGTGTATGTACGTGTAGATCATCGCAGATGTTCGTTTAAGGAGCTTGTAATTTCGGGGGGGGGGAAGGGGGGTGAAAGTCTGAACCCCTTTTTCAGCTCCCAGCCCCAAAGTCGGGTTCTCCCAGTGGAAATGGCATCGCTGCCCAGACATGTACAGGGGCAGCCTGTGGTCGGAATTGCTAGGCTCCGAATTGGAGATGCTGACAACTTTCGGAGGGCCAAAAGGAACGTCTGCTGTGCCGCTTGAGTGCGTCGCTGCTGCGCCCACTGTTGCACGACTTTTGCATGCCTGCCATGTTTTTGTTCAGCTGCTGGGCTCCAGCTGCTATAGCTTGCCCGGGTGTCTGCACCCTCGGCTGGCATATGATACAAGTGAACTCATGAAGTCATGACTCATGAAGATACGATGAATGCAAAGATCACAAAACCTCCGCAACCCAAACCCACACTTGTTTCAAGACTCATCAAGGCATTAGCTAGCTGCACAGACGGCTCCGCTGGAAGCGACGTTCTCGTGTGAACTCTTGCTGGAGAGAACTTCCTTGGACCCTTAAACACCAAATCGACTGGAGCATGGAGCATGGTGTTGCAGCTGCCCAGTGGTCGATGAGGCCGATGTTTTCCAGGCCGGCAGCCATTTGGGCAGAGAACACCCTCGGGCCGACAGGGTTTCTAGGGTTTGCAGGGTTTCTATGGTCTTGTAGGTTTGTTCTTCCCGGTTGTTATATGGCTTGTGTAGGGTTTGTCGGATTTAGAGTTTCGGGTCCTTACTCTATCTAGTGTATCTCAGGGTTATAGAACAAGGGACCCAAACGAAGGGTCCATACTTGGAGCCCCTGGCTGCAAGCGTCGCACCACTTTCATGCTACGCGCACGGCTTAAGCAGTTGAAACAACTAGTCAGCTACTTAGGGTTTAGGGTTTAGGGTTTAGGGTTTAGGGTTTAGGGTTGGACGAGCCTATCCGAGTTTTAGAACGTTGTCAAGTCACTCCTCTCGGCGGTTTTTTTGCAGTCTTCATCCTGCTCCTCGTTCCCATGCCTTCTGCCTTCAGCCTTGTGCCCTTCAAAAGCCCTCAATCGTCATTCCGAAGCCCTAAAACCCCGTTCCTAAACCCTAAACCCCTAACCCTCAACCCTAAACCTTAAACGCTAAACCTTACATACCCCCCTTGAACACCCCCTCCCTGAAAGATTAACCCTAAACCCTAAATCCTAAACCCTAAACCCTAAACCCTAACCCTATAAGGAAAGATTGGGGCTTCAGGGAGGTGGGTATCGATGACAGGGTTGACGCTTTGCCACCGCGGCATCCTGGTGCTCAGGAAAGCCTCCAGCATTTTTTGTGCCCAAAGGGTTGTTTAGGGTTTAGGCTTTAGGGTTTAGGGTTCAGGGTTTAGGGTTTAGGGTTTAGGGTTCAGGGTTCAGGATAAGGGTTCAGGGTTTAGGGTTTAGGGTTTAGGGTTTAGGGTTGTTTGGGTTTAGGGTTTAGGGTTTAGGGTTTAGGGTTTAGGGTTGTTTAGGGTTTAGGGTTTAGGGTTCAGGGTTCAGGTTCAGGGTTCAGGGTTTAGGGGCTAGGGTTTAGGGTTTTCTCCGGCGCCGCCGCCGCATTGTTTTCAGGAGGTCGGAATACTGCAGTAGCACAGCTATGACAACGTTGTGTCTGTAGATCTACCTGCAAGTCGCACACAAACACCAAGACACGCTTGCACGCAATGCAGGAGCCCTAATGATTGCGAAAAGCCTCCGGCCTCTCAAACCCTAGAAACCCTAAACCCTAAATCCTGAACCCTAAACCCTCAAACCCTAAACACTCAAACTCTAAACCCTAAACCCAGAACCCTCAACTCGACACCCTAAACCCCAAACCCCAAACCCTAAGCCCTAAACCCTAAACCCTAAGCCCCAAACCCTAAACCCTAAACCCTCAACTCGACACCCTAAGCCCTAAACCCTGAACCCTCAACCGTCAACCCTACACCCTAAACCCTAAACCTAAACCTTAAACCCTAAACCCTAAACCCTAAACCCTACACCCTACACCCTACACCCTAACCCCCCGATATTGCCGTTTCAAGTAGTGGCCGCTCATGGCCTGGAGCTGGCTCGGGGCATCGGTCTCATGGCGAATACAAGGGTTTAGGGTCTAGGGTCTAGGGTTTTAGGGTTTAGAAGTTTAGGGTGCAGCAGCTCTCCGGGTCGGGCAATCTCTGGTAGAGCCGCTGTTTCGACTCTAGAAAAAAACCCACCCACCCAGAGAATCCCAAAACATTACGAACTGTACAGTTTCTATTTTTCATCAGCAAGCCCTGTCCCCCAACTCTGTCATGGAGCGGTCCCTCGAACCACCCAATCGGCTCCCGGGGCGCGGTCATCGGGGGGCACCGATTAAAAAAAGCAACCACGTAAAAACAAGAAAGGGGCAAACCACTAAATCAACATAATTCTGGAGTTTCGGACACGAGCAGACAAAAACACACACCAAATTTTGTTAAACCTCTTTCTTTTTGCTTTCGGGCACGAGCAACCCCCCCAAAAAATGCACCTCATGTTTCTTGTTTTTTCGGGCACGAATAGCCCAAAGAAGGCACCTGATTTTGCCCCCCTGCCCCCCTGCCCCCCTGGCACCCCAAAGATCCCCCTAAGTTTCAGCAGGCCTGCTACGCGTCAGTTACGCGTCGAACAGTCAGAGGGTTTCGTGTTTAGGGTTTAGGGTTTAGGGTTTAGGGTTCCGGGGAGATGAGGTCATGCGAGTCGTCGGGAGCATTTACACGTGGATCCGCATGCCGAGCGCTTCGGGCTCAGCGCGGCATAATGCCCGGTTGGTGATGTTCCTGTGCTCGTTCGCGGTGAACGCGGTGAACTATTCCGTCTTCATCGCTTATGAACTCTACCTCAACCCGGCCGTGCTTTGGCTTGCCCTAAACCCTAAACCCTAAACACTAAACCCTAAACCCTAAACCCTCTTGAGGCCTAAACCCATGGTTCGGCTCTTGGTGTTCGAAACCTTGCAGCCTCGATCCCAGGTAAACTGTCTGTTCGTGGTCTTTTGCCCTGCAGTCCTCTGGAGCTCCTTACTTCGCCTTTAGTTGAACTTTAAACTTTCTGGGCTTCCTTATTAAGTAGGAATATTAAAGTTTAACCTTTTTTCCCCCTTGGTTATTGGAGAAGTAAGGCTCCTACTGGTGCAGGGACCTGCCAATCAAGGCATTTCCGCACGTCATCTACGATGCCAATGCAAGCAACATGTTGCTGAACCCTGCCATCCTGGGACTGAAAGCCCTAAACCCTACGCCCTAAACCCTAAACCCTAAACCCTAAACCCTAAACCCTAAACCCTAAACCCTAAACCCTAAACCCTAAACCCTAAACCCTAAACCCTAAACCCTAAACCCTAAACCCTAACCCCTAACCCCTAACCCCCAACCCCGAGACCTTAAACCCCATAAGCCAGCTCCTGCAAGCCCCGAACTCGAAGCCCCCCCCCCCGCCCCCCCCAATGCTTCAGAATGAAGAGCATCCTATGGGAGGCTCTTCCTTGAGACTGAGTTGTGTGATCTGGTGTTTAGGGTTTAGGGCTTAGGGTTTAGGGTTTCGGGTCTCTGGAGTTTAGGGTTAAGGGTTTCTGGGGTTTAGGGTTTGCGGTTCAGACGGGTGTTTCCAAGCTCCCAGGAAATTGATTATTTATGCGGTCCTTGTGGTCGCCATGCCCATTTTGTTTGGCACTGGCAGCGCTCAATCAATTGCCGAGAGCTTGATTATGAATGTGTTGGGATATACGACGGCGTTTCTACCAATTCTCGATGACCACGTCCTCGCAACCAGCGGGTTTGCCCTCTATGGACTTGCAGCCGCGATGATCACCTTTGCAAATCAAGATCAAGTTGAGTTCACAGATGGGACGCCCGAGGACGTTCATGTAACGCTTCTGTATATTGTGATCGCCTGAAGAGCCTGCTAAGATGGACCGTTTATTTCCGTGGTCCCTAGCCCAAGCCTCAACATTTCACTCAGCCCAAGCTCAAGCGAGGGCAGGTCTCTAAACTACGGCCCGTTCTACCCTAAGCCCGAAACCCTAAGCCCCTAAACCCTAAACCCTAAACCCTAAACCCTAAACCCTAAACCCTAAACCCTAAACCCTCAACCCTCAACCCTCAACCCTCAACCCTCAACCCTCAACCCTCAACCCTCAACCCTCAACCCTCAACCCTAAACCCTAAACCCTAAACCCTAAACCCTAAACCCTAAACCTTAAACCTTAAACCCTAAACCCTAACCCTAAACTCTAAACCCTAAACCCTAAACCCTAAGCCCTAAACCCTAAACCCTAAACCCTAAACCCAAACAGGGGTCATGTTGAAGAGGGCGCCGCGATCTATCGGCCCCCCCCGCCCCCCCCCCGCCCCAAACAAAGGGCCGTGAATTTTAGACAGCTTCCCTGCCGAGGATTTGGAGGTTCATGGTTAAGGGTTTAGGGTTTAGGGTGTAGGGTTTGGGGTTTAGGGTTTAACCAATTTTTAACTGTACTCATAACCCACTCATATGCCGTTAAGTGCTCTAAGTACAGTTACAAGTACAGTTATAGTTGGTTAAACCCTAAACCCTAAACCCTAAACCCTAAACCCTAAACCCTAAACCCTAAACCCTAAACCCTAAACCCTAAACCCTAAACCCTAAACCCTAAACCCCAAGCCCTAAACCCTAAACCCTAAACCCTAAACCCTGTGAATAAGTACAGCTGTACAATCCAAGGATGCGCCACATGCTCCTGCAGAACTGCTTCTACTCGATCCTGAGTCGGGGCCTCCTCAAGATCTTCGACTCGCAGTTCGAACCTCCCGACCAGAGCGCTGGAGACAAGGTTGTGGGTAGCCCTAAACCCTAAACCCTAAACCCGAAAACCATAAACCCTGAACCCTAATGACCTTTAAGCCCTGGCTTGTTGAAAGCCCTGGAAGCTCCAAGCTTAAAATCCTCAACCCCAACCTGGGATCTTGAGTTGGAGGGGAAGGCCAACTAAACCCTAAACCCCCTAAACCCTAAACCCTAAACCCTAAACCCTAAACCCTAAACCCTAAACCCTAAACCCTAAACCCTAAACCCTAAACCCTAAACCCTAAACCTTAAACCCCAAACCCTAAACCCTAAACCCTAAACCCTAAACCCTAAACCCTAAACCCTAAACCCTAAACCCTAAACCCTAAACCCTAAACCTTAAACCCAAACCTCGAGACCCTACTGTACCGGTCATAGGATCCCATTCTGCAGGCTCGCCCCTTTGTGGCTCATCTCGGCAACGCGTCGCGCCGGAGCTTCGAGGTGTGGAGTGGTGGTTTAGGGTTTAGGGTTTAGGGTTTAGGGTTTAGGTTTAGGGTTTAGGGTTTAGGGTTTAGGGTTTAGGGTTCAGGGTATGTCATGTTCAAACTATTAAGCCCACTGGGAGCAGAGGGCCTCCGCTTCTGACGAGGACCTCATCTGCCAAGCTCGCGATCGGGAGGGGCCTCACAGTGTGGCGAGGCTTCTGGGCATCTACGCGCGCAGGATGCGGTACGAGGAGGAGCTAGTGGCCCAGCTGATCTTCTTGTGCCCCTGCTGCAGTATCGTCAGGCCGAAACCCTAAACCCTAAAATCCTAAACCTAAACCCCAAACCTTAAACCCCAAACACTGAACCCTACACCCTAAACCCCAGGAACGGTAGGTGCCGGAACGTCGCAGCCTGGGGGCCCTGCGTCGAAACACCACCCTAAACCCTAAACCCTAAACCCTAAACCCTAAACCCTAAACCCTAAACCCTAAACCCTAAACCCTAAACCCTAAACCCTAAACCCTCAAGGCCAGGATAAATAGAAATTGTATGTGTTTCATTACGAGCACCACGTACAGTAACCCTTTATCCTTCACGGTGTAAAAAAGCATGACTCTCAGATGGGGATCAGCATTGGCAAACACCCCTGGCCCCCAACCCCCTAAACCCTAAACCCTAAGCCCTAAACCTCTCCTACCATATAATTATAAACCTTAATGGTATTCGTGGGCAAGGCCCAAATATTCGTGGGCAAGGCCCAAAGATTCGTGGGCAAGGCCCAAATATTCGTGGGCAAGGCCCAAAATCCGGATTTTGGGCCTTGCCCACGAATTTTTGGGCCTTGCCCACGAATTTTTGGGCCTTGCCCACGAATTTCTGGGGTTGTTGGTTCGTGGGCAAGGCCCAAAAATTCGTGGGCAAGGCCCAAATATTCGTGGGCAAGGCCCAAATATTCGTGGGCAAGGCCCAAATATTCGTGGGCAAGGCCCAAGTATTCGTGGGCAAGGCCCAAATATTCGTGGGCAAGGCCCAAGTATTCGTGGGCAAGGCCCAAAAATTCGTGGGCAAGGCCCAAGGCCCACAATGCCCTTGAGACCCTAAACCCTTGAGCCCCTAAACCCTTGAGACCCTACACACTTGAGACCCTAATTAGGGTTTCAGGGCCTCAGGGCCTGTGTTTAGGGTTTCAGGGCCCAGCGTTTAGGGTTTCAAGGCCTCAGGGCCTGTGTTTAGGGTTTCAGGGCCTCAGGGCCTGTGTTTAGGGTTTCAGGGCCCAGCGTTTAGGGTTTCAAGGTTTCAGGGCCTCAGGGCCTGTGTTTAGGTTTCAGGGCCCAGCGTTTAGGGTTTCAAGGCCTCAGGGCCTGTGTTTAGGGTTTCAGGGCCTCAGGGCCTGTGTTTAGGGTTTCAGGGCCCAGCGTTTAGGGTTTCAAGGCCTCAAAGCCTGTGTTTAGGGTTTCAGGGCCTCAGGGCCTGTGTTTAGGGTTCAGGGCCCAGCGTTTGGGGTTTCAAGGCCTCAAAGCCCGTGTTTAGGGTTTCAGGGCCAGCGTTTTAGGTTGTCAAGGTCTCGGGCCGTGTTTAGGGTTTCAGGGCTAGGGGCCTGTGTTCAGCGTTTTTTTTTTAGGGTTTCAAGGGCTCAGGGTTTCAAGGCCTCAGAACCTTGTGGTGTTTTTTTTTTTTTTTTTCAGGGTTTCAGGGCATCATGGGGCCTGTGTTAGGGGTTCAGGGCCCAGAGGCTTTAGGGTTTCAAGGCCTCAGGGCCTGTGTTTAGGGTTTCAGGGCCTCAGGGCCTGTGTTTAGGGTTTCAGGGCCCAGCGTTTAGGGTTTCAAGGCTTCAGGGCCTGTGTTCAGGGTTTCAGGGCCTCAGGGCCTGTGTTTAGGGTTTCAGGGCCCAGCGTTTAGGGTTTCAAGGCCTCAGGGCCTGTGTTAGGGTTTCAAGGCCTCAGGGCCTGTGTTTAGGGTTTCAGGGCCTCAGGGCCTGTGTTTAGGGTTTCAGGGCCCAGCGTTTAGGGTTTCAAGGCTTCAGGGCCTGTGTTTAGGGTTTCAGGGCCTCAGGGCCTGTGTTTAGGGTTTCAGGGCCCAGCGTTTAGGGTTTCAAGGTTTCAGGGGGCCTGTTGGTTAGGGTTTCAAGGCCTCAGGGCCTGTGTTTAGGGTTTCAGGGCCTCAGGGCCGGTGTTTAGGGTTTCAGGGCCCAGCGTTTAGGGTTTCAAGGCCTCAGGGCCTGTGTTTAGGGTTTCAGGGCCTCAGGGCCTGTGTTTAGGGTTTCAGGGCCTCAGGGCCTGTGTTTAGGGTTTCAGGGCCCAGCGTTAGGGTTCAAGGCCTCAGGGACTGTGTTTAGGGTTTCAGGGCCTCAGGGCCGGTGTTTAGGGTTCCAGGGCCCAGCGTTTCGGGTTTCAAGGCTTCAGGCCTGTGTTTAGGGTTTCAGGGCCCAGCGTTTAGGGTTTCAAGGCCTCAGGGCCTGTGTTTAGGGTTTCAGGGCCTCAGGGCCTGTGTTTAGGGTTTCAAGGCCTCAGGGCCTGTGTTTAGGGTTTTAGGGCCTCAGGGCCTGTGTTTAGGGTTTCAGGGCCTCAGGTTTAGGTTTTCAAGGCTTCAGGGCCTGTGTTTAGGGTTTCAGGGCCTCAGGGCCTGTGTTTAGGGTTTCAGGGCCCAGCGTTTAGGGTTTCAAGGCCTCAAAGCCTGTGTTTAGGGGTTTCAGGGCCTCAGGGCTGTGTTTAGGGTTTCAGGGCCCAGCGTTTAGGGTTTCAAGGCCTCAGGGCCTGTGTTTAGGGTTTCAGGGCCTCAGGGCCTGTGTTTAGGGTTTCAGGGCCCAGCCTTTAGGGTTTTTCAGGCTTCAGGCCTGGTTTTAGGGTTTCAAGCCTCAGGGGCCTGTGTTTGAAGGCTCAGGGCCTGTGTTTAGGGTTTCAGGGAATCAGGGCCTGTTTAGGGTTTCAGGGCCCAGCGTTTTTAGGGTTCAAGGCATCAGGGGCCTGTGTTTTTTTTTTTTTTTTAGGGTTTCAAGGCCTCCGGGCCTGTGTTTAGGGTTTCAGGGCCTCAGGGCCTGTGTTTAGGGTTTCAGGGCCCAGCGTTTAGGGTTTCAAGGTATCAGGGCCTGTGTTTAGGGGTTCAGGGCCAGGGGCCCAGCGTTTAGGGTTTCAAGGCCTCAGGGCCTGTGTTTAGGGTTTCAGGGCCTCAGGGCCTGTGTTTAGGGTTTCAGGGCCCAGCGTTTAGGGTTTCAGGCCTCAGGGCCTGTGTTTAGGGTTTCAGGGGGCCTCAGGGCCTGTGTTTAGGGTTTCAAGGCCTCAGACCCTCAGGGCCTGTGTTTAGGGTTTCAGGGCCCAGCGTTTAGGGTTTCAAGGCCTCAAGGCCTGTGTTTAGGGTTTCAAGGCCTCAACGCCGTGTTTTTTTCAAGTTTTTCAGGGTTTTTCAAGGTTTTTCAATGTTTTTTAAGGTTTTTCCATGTTTCTTCGGGTGTTTTCCGGGTTTTTCTGAGGAAGGGCTGCCCCCGCGACCTTTTCACAGCTTAATTTCGGTCAAGGGGGGTCGTATTTTTGGATTTTAAAGGCAAAATAGTCTTTGGAGACCCTCCTTGCCTCAAACTCCGACCCCCCCTTGAGAGGGAAAGTTTGCGTCAAAAAACACCCCAAATAGAGACCTCAGGCTTGGCCTAGACCCGCAAGGAAAATACGAATTTTTAGTACTGAAATCGAG